CTCCTCATTTGTCAAAAGTCTCAATATGTTAAGAAGTGAAATAAAGAAAGTGTTTGAGAGGGAGGGAGAGAGAGTGAAGAGGATGGATTTAAGGAGAGCAAATTCGTTCTTTGATTGATCTCAATATGTTATTTGAGCTAACTACATTATAAAAGTGGAGTAGTTAGCAGAAAATGAAGAATTAAGCCTAACATCACCAAGAAGACTAATCAATTGACTTTTTGTGGGTTTGGTCAGTAAGCACTAAAGCTACCATTGGTTTTAAGGATTTGTTGACCAGAACCACATTATTTTCTCAAAAGGAAGAAAGAGGTCTCAGTCTGTAACAGGTCCATCACCTTTAATGGGCCTCCAAATTTGAGCATCTCACATCTTTACGGCCCAAGTAGGGAGAAAGACGTTGACTGTTTTCATGTCAAATTGACTTTGACATTGTTGCAATTTTTTTTTGCTTTTTCAGTTCAGTTTCTGGAGCCATTTCTCGATTTAGTTTCGGTTTGGTTCAACCAAATTGGATACAGAGATTAAACGGTTGGTGTTGCATGCGTTTAACACCGATCATACACATGTTTCATAACGTTTTAGATCGCTATAAATCAAAAAACTTCTGAGCATTTTGCTTGTGAGATTCACCATTTCAACATCCCGGAGTATACGACTTTCTACTAGTGTTATAAAAATGACATTTGTTATTGCAATATGAAAGAAGAATTTACATTAAACTGTTTCTGATGGTTTCAAAGAAAACCAAGAGATGATCATATTTTTACACAGAATCAGATTTTATCTACTAAGATTTTCAGATACAAATAAGGCCAGAGAAGAGAAAGACTTGTTACTTGTTAGGCTTATTAACAACAAATTGGAATGGAGATTGAATAAAATGTAAAAACCTTAATTTTTTCACTTTCTACAAATAATANAAAAACATTTTAATAAGAGAAATGCAATGCTTATACCGGGCACAAATTTTCTGGAATTTTTTTCTAAAAAGAAGTAACTTTTGTGATTGCGGTACAAAATAAACAACAAAGCAAAACGAACCTTCAGATGGAAAGTAACATTTGTTCCTCGGAAAATTATTAAATGAGGATCAATCACTAATATATGAAAGAAAATTAAAATGATTGACTG